AAATTCCCCGTGCTCGTGCTCGTCAACCATCCTTCTTCGCGCCCTCGTTTTGGTCCTGAATTAGGAACGTGTTCTGGTATCAAGGAATACAAACTACCAACTACTATAGACGGAGTGTCGACACTCCGTCATCCGTTTTCTGCATACGCGTTGCGAGGTACGTCCTGGTTACCCGGTCACCCTTCCCCAGCATTCCCGCCATTCCTCCTCTCTCCAAGTACTGCATTCCCATGGTGATGTGCCAAACCCTTCCAAAAACACCCACCTAAACAATACTCCCAGCCCTCCTACGAACTGGGTGCCCTCGATGTTGACCATGAGTATTGTCATCTCCAGATTTGGATGATAGACTCCTATTTTCAGTCCTTGATTACGATAATATATCACCACCGCTGTACAATCTCCCTTTGTCGCCACCATTAACTTTCTTCCCCTTGATAGCAACTACACTCGATCTCTCTGAATTCCGTATCGCGTCGCTAAGGATGTTCATGGAATCTTCTCTTTCATAATCTGCGGTCAGTGACCCTGCGTCCGGCTAGACCAACTGGAAGGATCCCATATCCAGAACCCGGATTCGAACCAGAAAGACATGGAACCAATGAAGCCACACATTGCGCCACTGAAGATCGAAAAGGGAAACTCCAACTTCTACTCCAATCGTCTCCATTCTGCTCAACATCATCAGATGACACCTCCTTTAACGCCGTCCCACACGAACAAAGACGACAGCATGGAACAGACGGAAACACCGCGAGCCGTCTTCCCTAACTACTTGCGCGCCTTCTACCCTTTTCATCCATCCGGGGATGTATCACCCTCTACAATCACCCTACCACTGGATCAGGGGGACGTCATTTTAGTGCACTCGGTTCATACAAATGGATGGGCAGATGGCACATTATTAGATACCGGTGCCCGGGGCTGGCTACCCACTAACTATTGCGAGGCTTACGATCAGTTACCAATGCGTCCGCTCCTGAAAGCGTTGACTGACTTCTGGGACATCATCCAAGGAGGATGCGGCTTTCCTCTACGCGAATTCTGCAATCAGGACACCGTAAAGGGTCTGATTGCTGGTGTGCGCTTTCTACTAGTAAGTACGGACACTGGGAGGACGACAGTGGGATAGCTGACAGATTCAAGGAAAAATCCGAGTGTCTCACTCGTGACTCCGTTCTGGTAAGAAGCCATGATGGTCTGCGTAGGAACCGCAAGGCTTTGCTTGCAGATCTCTCCTCCCTAGTCCGAACAACGAAGAAATGCCAGGAAATGCCCAGTAGCACCAATGGCACCGAAGATGAGGTGTACATGATGGATGAAATGCTTCTGAAGGCATTCCGGATCGTGACTCGCGGCGTTCGTTTCCTCGATATTTGGACCGAGGAAGTGGGCCTGAGCCGGACCATCGCGGAGCTTGGTCAGGCAACACACTTCGACATCCCTCCAACTCCCATATCTGAGACATTCGCATCGGAGGCTGATACGGAACGGGGTGAATCCCGGCTGCTAAACCGCAGCCGATTGGATATGAGCCGTGCATCTAACCGAACGGATACGATGGAGTCTCAGTCCCATCGTCCCGTGTCCGTGTTAACCAAGCGGATCTCCCACCGAGTGTCGTGCTCAGCGCCTGCTGCGGCCGCCCGAAACCCGAATTTGGCTTCAGAAAGGTTGAACACCACATACGATGCGTTTCTGGGAGTCTTGGGCTCGTTCATTGGCCTTCATTTACAGTCACGTCCCTCAACAGAGCTAGTAGTTACCACGGAACAGGCGGTGCGGTCCTGTCGAGGTTTGCTGACCGTCGTCGAGGCCGTATGTGAGCACGACCCGCAGGGATGCGGGCTTCTGGAGCAAGCTCGGGACACCATGTATGACCGACTTTCAGAGCTTGTCTATGCCGCCCGGGATGCCTTCCGACCCGCTCATTCCGCAGATGACGAGCTTATCTTCATGCCAGACGAAGGCAAGCGTCTCGTTGACGCTGCAACCGACTGTGTCAGAGGGGCAGGAAACTGTTTGGCGAAGGCTCGCTGGATGCTGGAGCAGAGTGGCGATTTTGAACTTGAAGCGATGTCGCAGGACTCTCCCGCCGTTAATGACATCCAGAGCACACCTATTCCACAGCGAACCGGGAGCCTGGCAGGTGACCAGAAAGACGTATCCTTGCGCCTCCCTCCTCCCCCGCTTGAAATTCCCGTGAAGAAGAACCCACGCGATTCCACCTCTACTCCGGGCCTGACCGACGCCGCCACCCCATCTTCCTTTAATTCCCGTGCATTGGCTACTCCAACCACTGATAATACCGATCATCCCACAGCTATGCTGTCCACTAGTCCAGACAAAACGTCCATTTCATTGATGCAGGACGCTCATGTGGCAGATAGCATCCAGTGTCGCGACAGTCACCCGAGGTCTGAAGTCAGTGAGTCCTTCGGCCGCGGCATTACCAGCACCGGGAGCAGTTTCACGTACAACAGCCATCTCCGTAACTCCGAAATGAGCGGGGTATCTCGGACATCCACCCGGGCCACCTCTCCGGACATTTGCAACAGCTACCAAGCCCCGTCGCTGCATGGCAGTATCAGCCACTCGACTCTGGCCGAGGAGAACGAGGAGACGGAGGCCAACATTTTGGAGAAGACCTTTGCTCATGAGTTGATTTTCAAAGATGGTCAAGTTATGGGTGGAAGTCTTCGCGCCTTGGTGGAGAAGCTCACAGCCCATGGCTCGACCCCAGATGCCATGTTCGTCTCCGCATTCTACCTCACTTTCCGTCTCTTTGCAACTCCAATGGAGTTTGCCGAAACCCTTGTCGACCGGTTCATCTATATCGGCGATACGCCTCATGCTGCAGGTCCCGTTCGCCTTCGTGTCTACAATGTGTTCAAGGGATGGCTCGAGTCCCATTGGCGCCATGATTGTGACAACGTAGCACTGGATTTTATAATGCACTTTGCCAATACCACATTAATGCAGAACCTTCCTTCTGCAGGAAAGCGGCTGGCAGAGCTAGCGGAAAAGGTCTCGGCAGTCCATGGTCCAGTGGTGCCCCGGTTGGTGTCTTCTATGGGAAAGACCAATACCGCGACTGCGCAATACGTTCACCCGGATGCTCCGTTGCCACCGCCCATCCTTGGGAAGAAGGAGAATAATCTCCTCAGACAATGGAAGAACGCCGAGGGTAACCTCAGCATTCTGGACTTTGATCCGATGGAGCTCGCGCGGCAATTTACTATCAAGGAATCCCGCATCTTTTGCTCTATTCTTCCCGAGGAGCTTTTGGCAACAGAGTGGATGAAGAAATCTGCATCGCTAGCTGTCAATGTCCGTGCAATGTCTACATTGTCGACGGATCTCGCGCACCTGGTGGCTGATTCCATCCTCCAGCTGGAGGAGCCCAAAAAGCGAGCGGCTACCATTAAACACTGGGTGAAGATCGCCAACAAGTGTCTGGAGCTCGACAACTACGATACGCTGATGGCTATTATCTGCTCCCTGAACTCGTCAATGATATCTCGTCTCAAGCGGACTTGGGAAATTGTATCCCAAAAGACCAAGACAACGCTTGAGTCTCTGCGGGGCATTGTTGATGTTTCGCGCAATTACGCGGTTTTGAGACAACGACTCCAGAACCGTATCCCCCCTTGTTTACCTTTTGTTGGTACATACTTGACTGACCTGACATTCGTGGATCACGGCAATCAGCCGTTGCGCAGCCTGCCTACCGAGGATGGTGAGATGGCAGTGATCAACTTTGACAAACACATGAAGACAGCCAAGATCATCAGTGAACTGCAGAGGTTTCAAATCCCATACCGATTGACTGAAGTACCGGAATTGCAAGCTTGGATGCAGAACGAATTGATCCGGGTGCGGTCGAACGGCGAGAAGAGTATGCAAACGTTCTATCGCCGGTCGTTGGTGCTGGAACCGCGTGACCCACCCCCAACTCCACGCTCAATTCCTCCTCAACCCGAGTCGAGCGCATCGTCTATCCTGGAGAATGCCAAGGATAAATTCGACTTCCTGTCCTGGACACATCCGTCAAAGGCCAAGTCGGTAGCGACTAATGGCTGAAACGTTTGCATTGGTGATATGTGGCCACTATTATGATTTACGACAGTTACATTCTTCGATCATGTCTTACGGCGTTATAACATTCTATCATTATTATTATTATCTTGCTCTTTGTCTAGTTGTTTTGTGGATATCCATTTCCTTTCGGGGCGGCACTTGTGTTATTCTATTCGTGTTTCATTATAAAAGCGATGGGTCAGGATACGCAGGATGGAGTCAAGCGGATTCTGAACGAGTGAATTGGGATATACCCAGGAGACGGCGGGATAAAAAAAAGGGAAAACAAAACTGGGTTTTCACATACAGACATATCACAAGCCTCACGGCTGGCTGTTGGGATATATAAACAGTGGGAGAGACTCCCTGTCATTTTCCTTTCTTCACCCTGAGTTGGATTTGGGTACATTGGGTGATCTTGACTTATCGCGAGGAACTGTGTTATTAAGTATTTACTTTTTGGATTGATTGAACCGGCTGCATTGGATATGGATGGGATAAGGAGCACGACCGGACTGGAACGGGTTCATTTGGGTGGATTTCATGTACCGTATTATGTATATACAATTTTGTGACAATAATCCTAATATTGTCTATCTTGATGACTTTCTTTCCATCCTTGATCTCCGTACCGTAGACCCTAAGACCTGTGAGACATGACATGTGCTAGTCAGTAGAACGAAGCCAGACAGTGACGTGGTTTAGTTGTTTCGATTGCTCCCTACTTCGAGGAGAGGTCTAGCAATGTCGAATAGCTGGCTTATTAACCGAGTCCTGAGAGTGCACAGCCTATCATGTACAGAGTATTCGGAGTTTGCACTGCATCTGTTTGCATTATGGCAGGTTTGTCTCTCCCGTACCATCTAGTCGAAATGTTCATCGTACGCGAGATATTGACTGCTAAACAAGATAGAACAGGTTCAGTGAAATGTGATCTTGTCCCTCCAGGCTTTGAACACCTCAGGAAACTCAGCTTGCTCTTCTTCTTCGCTCATATACTCAGCTTCTGGATGAACCATTGCCAAGGTATCCGTCATGTCAAGTAAGGGAATCATTGATGGCCGCCCATGCGCACATTGGAACGGAAAGATGCATCGCGCGAGGTTTTGGACAAGGCTTTGACACTCCTCGATCGTCAGGTCATCATTAAACATGATGGCTGTCCGACAGGCCCGCGAGTTCAATAGCTCGACGATCCCCTGGGGGCATATATCAAGTTGTTCCGCCCAGCGATCCTGTCCCAAAACTGTTACCCGGTCCTCAGGTCCCATGCCGTTTCCCTCGCGTTTCCAAATGTGCCCTCGAATCAGATTGGTAACCAACTCTGGCTCGAGCCTGCAACGCTCGGCGATAAGCATGGGGAGTGTATGCACATAAATGTATACAGATTTGTCTGCAGGCCCTTGTTCAACGGTGTATTCAACACCCCAAGACTCAAAGAACTGTTTATATCTTCCAAAAATATATGCCTCGGTAACGGGTATCTCAAAAATAATAGGTTCCAATGTGATCGTCCTTACTTGCCCAGAACTTTCCAATGATGGTGTGAAGTACTCCTTGAATAATCTCTCTACCCGGCATCGCTCATCGGCAGCATGCTGGTCGATAAGCACCAGAATGGAACCTGGATCATTGCTAAATTCACTCGCTGCCATAGATCTTATCTTAGCCAGGACGAACTTGTGATCAACCTGCGCGATTATCTCCGCCGTTTCCAGATCCTGTCTTCGCAGCTTGCCTCGAACATTTGGCAATCCCAAATTCTCAAACCCGCAAACGTCCGCTGGAACATCGTTAACTCTGGAGTGTGCCATATGTGCTTTGGTGCCATATCCCGTTCCGACCACATCGAGAAATTTCTCGGATCGGCTGAAAACAGGGTTTTCCCAATTGTCCATCATTTTCTCAACCCATAAGTTTTGTGTCTTGCTCAAAATTGCCGACTTCGGCCTTGTTATACTATCACACTCTCGTATTGTCTGGAGTGATCCTGTTGATCTAGGTCTCTGGACGGCATCCAAAGGTGATCTGGTACCCACTGACTGGCCAGTCCGGGAGTTGATCAGATGTCTCCTTCCAGTATAGGAATCGGTCCAATGAACCACAATATCACTTCCTGATCCGTTCTCAGTTTCAGGCGTCGTAAAACCAGTGTACGTGGCTAATGCATCTGACCCCTCAAGCATCCTACGCTTGTTTCTTTCTGGCCGAGTTGGCAGGGTTTCCCGGGCTAAATTCCGCTTAATGATACAGGCCTTCTCTGGAGAGGTTGATTTGGCTTTTGGTCTTGTAGAGCGTGCGTTGAAAGACTCGTGGGCACTTTTGATTCTTGACCACTCTCCAAAACTTTGACTGACGTTTGGCGCGAACATTTGGAAGTTCGGAAGTTTCAACTGACGGTACAGAGCTTCCTCGCTGTTGAATGCTTGACCTGGACGGTTTGGTGCACGATCAGAACTGCTTGTGGGTGTTCCGACCGTCTGTTTTTGTGCCACCCTCTGTCTCCTCCCAGCGCGCGGGCGTAAGTCATGCTGCTTCAAGAATTCTTGTATCATTGCCGCAAGTACATCCATAATGCGTTGGACTGATTTGTCAGACTCGGGCAATTCATGGCCCTCACTGTTGATCTTATGAGTTTCATTAGTATCTATGCGTATATAGAACATAGGCCACTTGTTGACAGCCTTGGTCATAGATTTTGTACTTGAACCACTGTAACGGCCAGGAGGCTTTGCTGGGCTTCTCCTGGGAGCGAATGTAGATGGGGTGCCCGTGGTACCGAAATCAGACAGAGAAAACAAGCGGTTAACTTCGGCGTAGAATATATTGACACTGCTTTTGGGAAAGACTGGATCCATCCCCAAGGAGATAAATTGTATTTTCTTGGTAGGGTTTGGTACAAGGGATATAGCAGCATGAACAGAGAAACTAGGCACGTTAGCTGAGACAGCATCCCAGCTGTGAGCGTTCTGAGGCTCAATCAGTCCTGCCTGCGCAAGAATTGATACTATTCGCTGGAGGTCCAGTTCACGATCGGTTCGGCGATTCTGGGTTCGGATGCTGATCCTCTTATCTCTAGAAGCTTCGATGATAACCAACTTTGTCAAGTTACTATTCGCAAGCATTAACGAGACTAACTGCTGTCGTAGTTCGTCCCATTGCCGATCCAACTCGTCGTGCCTTTGTAAGGCCAAGGCGCGATGTTTCACTCTCACGGGCATGTTTCCAAACAAATCATTGACCGTAACGCTAGTTCCATGGCTGCTAAGTCTAAGCTCCTGTTGGACTGGAGCTGGTATCAGCCGTGCAACCGGAGTTGAATGGTGGAACATGATAGTATTTGTGTTAGGATGGCGAACATGGTGAGAAGTGATGGTCAGCAGCGAAAGTGAAGACAACGAGGCTAGAAACAGCCCCTTCTGGCCATATACACCAGTGAGAGTCTGATATTTTGATGTATCTGCCAGTGAGTGAGCGAAAAAGATCTACCCGATGCACAATCAACTTACGATGTGCCTTCCCTAAGCCTCCGCTGGGCTCGAACTCCGTTGGTAGAATTCCATCACCATCGTCATCCACCTTACAACCCCCACGTCGAAAGTCTACCGTCACAGAGACTGTGCGGGCATCTGCGTCCAGCGCGTTCTTCACTAGTTCGACGATCACCCCATTTAGGTGCGTGATGGACGTGGAAGATTTGAGCTTGGCTACCACTTCGGGCGGCAAGGGCTCAATCCTGCGACTGTTCCCAGACATCGCAGATGGTCAAAATCAAATGTACATGGCTTACAAAAAGTAATGCCCGCCACATATTGCCATTCTGGGGTTCAAGTTACCTCCATGGCATATAGACTTCAAGAAAAGTAGATTTGGAGAAGGAAAGAATGAGAGACGGGAGTCACTATCATATCAGAATGGTGTTCCCCACGCTCTGACTAAAAGATCGTAACTTTTTAGCGCTGCCGGCTTCCCGTGGTGACCATGGTCCAATGGTAGGGCGTATATCTACACTACTAGTAATCACTTGGTCTATCCAAAATATCCTTCGTTAGTTCTAAATCTTCTTTTCTGCTTTGGTTCTATTTTTTTTTAATTTTTTTTTATTTTTTATAATATTAGTTACTCATTATCCACTAGTAGTGGGAGGTAGATATGCAATAACTCGACCACCTTAATGAACTTTGCTTCTGCGGAAGGATAATCCAGCAAATAGGGAACTACTAAGAGCTTCGTGTTGCCTGGATATTAGTCGGAGTATATGCAGTTTACTCGGTGACGACGAAAGGGATGGTGTAAGATGCGCGCCAATCCTTGCAGTAGCCAAGCCTCTTAAGCTTCAAAGTCGGCCATGAATAGCAGCAGTTGACGATAGCCACTACGATCGTCCACTGCTAGTAGTCTAGTGAGAAGGCTGGTACATACAATCCGTGGTTGGAAAGGAAAATCAAAGGCTTTGTTCGATTTTTGGGCTGCTGATGAGGCGGGGATCACGTGTGGCCAGCCCGGCGTCTCCTACTGGACTCCTGAGGCAAAGGCAACAACCCAACATCTTTCTGGCATTCTAACTTCTCTCCTCTGGTACGATAACGACTCCTTCTCCTGGTCAGATTTTGCTTGTATGTCGTTGCGTTCCTATCCTGGGTTTCAAATTTCAACCCTTTATACTGCGTCTTCGTTCATTTTCGTATTCCCCGGTCTCCTGCCGCTCTTATCTGATCGTCTGCCTTGTCGCATTGACCAGTACTGTCTCTAACGACTCAGACACTTTACTGGCCTAGCTGTCTCCCGATACCATTTGAACAGTTTTTGGCTTTATCGGATCTATACCTGTGCAAGGCCAGAATGGCCACTACTGAGGGCCCCGCCAGGGCGCATGGTGCGTTCCCCCAAGCGCGATGTCAACGGTGTCTCTGAGCTTAATGTCTAATGTTTGACTCAGACCGCAATGGGCGCCGTCGCCCATTTTCTAGTTGGATGAAGCGCCTCGCCAATCTCAAGAGCTCCACCGACTCAGGCAGTACTCGTTGGTCTCACAAACGCCATGCTGTACCTAAACACAAAAGGAGTCTGAAGAACAACCCCTACCCGCTCTCCGGCACAGTCAACATCCACGAATATAACAGTGACAATAATCCATCCGACTTCAGTGATAGTAATGAACAAAGGTCTTGTTCGCAGAGCGAACCGTCTCTGGCGTACTCCGGGTGCGACAATCAAGTGCCAGCGACCAGTGCAAAGTCTACCGCGCCAACTATCTCTACAAACGGTGACACGGCGATCTCGGATGCTGCATATTCTAAGGCCGGGACAATGGCAACCGTGGGCGGCGGGATCAGTTCACATGGAGGAGGTGAAGGAAGTACCTTCTCCTCCCCAGCACCGTCAGTACGGTCGCTAACCACCACTTTAACCACCGTGCAATCGGCGGCACCTTCCGGTCATCTTTATAACACGCAGAATACGCAACACGGTATACACCATACAAGCTCGATCAATAGCACTGCGACACAACAAGTGCAGTTTTCACATCAATTTCCTCCATCTCCGGCTACTGCAGTACCGCCCCACCTTGCCCCTCAAGGCCACTCCGTTACGTACAGTACTGCGACTGCAAATAACCTTTTGACTGACAACGCCTCCATTCTCACACTGGCATCTTCCTCCAAGAGACGTCGACGGAACTCACTGGATACCAACGCCTCAATACGTGCCCTCGCCCCGTCGAGTGTTTTCGGTGGTAGCCGGGAAAGTCTGCCCTTAAGCGTACTGAGCGGAAATGTGGGAGAACCGTCGAATGCATCCACATTCAACGCCCCCGGAGTCCTCAACCGACCGAGTATAGTTGGCCTAGCTAGTGCAGAGCGGATCAGCATTTATTCAGCCTCTGGCGCAACACCTATAAGCGGAGGCGGTGAGCGCGGCAGCCTGTATACGAACAAACCAAGCCCGGGCGTTGGGGATGGTGCCAGTTTTGTGAGTGCGGGCCAGTCACATAGTCGGCATGACAGTAACGCGGCGAGTATCTCCGGTGTTACTGGGACCATGGCCAATGCGATATCAACCGGGCGTATCAGCCGCCGAGGTTCAGGATGGGGAGAAATTACGGGCGATGAAAGTGACGAGGAGAAGCCGAGAGACCGAAAGGAGGACGAAGAGCTTGAGACCAAGAAGGGCTAGGTTCATGACCGATGGTTGTCTCAGTTTGAGATTGGGGCAATTGGAGATGATGTTACGCACTCAAGAAACTGAATTTCCCATGTATAATTTCCGTCCACATGATGATTAATGCTAAGAAGGTAAGGTAGAGAACATTTACGAAGGAGTTGGTTCGGCGTTTGATTGTTTTTTTTTTTTCTTTTCTTTTCTTTTCATTTTTTTTTCTTGGGTTCATGCCAGTTCTTCGGGTGGTGATGGGGTATTTGGACGGACTTGGTGGGCTTGATATCCCCTGCGAATGAGTTTTCACTGTCAATTTTCTTTTCATTCTATTGTCAATTTCCACAGTTAATAATATGCTAGTCCAATAATCAGACGGGCTGAGAATAGAAACGGGGAATAGAAACAGATGTTCTCCATGACAAGGTCATAGTCAGGAATGATAGCATACGACTACTAGTAGTAGACTTCAAGTTGTTGTTGAGCATCACGTGCGAGCCCCTCCACTCGACGTTCTTTTCGCCCCCATCTGGGATCAGTAAGCATAAGACCCTGAAAACCAAACAAACTAAACTCCAATCAGTTCTGAACTAGATCGTACTCCGTAATCAAGTTCACCTCACCCATCCTGAAGATTTCATGCACATACTCCATGAGCCTACATGCGGGCTTCAGGGCACCAATGCAAGGGAAGGGTTTCAAATTTGGTTGAGAGTGGGTCGGTGCATTACCCTAATGCTTGGGTTCCAATGCTAAGAGCACAGTCCCCCTTTCAGCTCTGGCGGAGGTGATAGGCTCGGCGCTGATGAGAAAATCCATATTTCAATTTCAAATACAATAGAGTTTGCTTCGGTCCCTAGGCACAATCATGCATCACCTGATTTATGCCCAGACCCTCTTGGTTCGATTTCTGAAATATTCAAAAGCGGCGTGAGGGAGAGACACTCTTTACATAAACATCGAATACCAATCGAGCAACTTTCACTCCGGGCGCTGGAGGTATGGTATCTTCCCAATAGCCGAGGCAGTGGCAGAGATTTTCACTCCAGATCGTCCGTAATGACGGCCTCCGAGCCCAAAAAGACCGTCGCCATCATCGGCTCTGGAATGGCAGGGCTGGTGTCGGCGTACCTGATCCAGCAAGACCGCAAACGCAGATATGAAGTGGAGGTGTTTGAAATGGTACTTTGAAATACCTGATCTGCCCCAACTTAACATGGACTAAACAACCTTTATAGCAAGATCAGTTGTCCTTGGACTCTGCCTCGTACACTATAACTTCACAAGATCATCAGACGTATCGAGTTGATGTGCCCATGCGTGCATTTGATGAGGGCTTTCATAACAACCTCAAACTGATGTATGATCATCTTGGTGTCAAATACACCTCGCCAAAATTCATATACCCGTTGTCTACCATTTCCACAGCAGATGGAAATAAGCTGCCTCCGCACTTTATCCACTCATCTAGCAATCACCAAGTACCGCCAATTCGACCTGAAGGTTGCGGTTACGTGGAATGGATACTGCGGATCTTGTATTTGGCAGTATGCTACTTCTGGTTTACCGCTTGTTGCTTCCTGGTTGAACCCAGACCAGCCACCTCCGATGAAGGTGAATCATTACGACAATACCTCGAACGGGTTCGATTACCACGGCACTTTATCAACACCTATTTTTTGCCGTTACTGTCCAGCGTGACAACTTGCTCACATAGTGAGCTTCTTGATTTTCCCGCGATCGACGCTGTAGACTATGCGAGGAGAACCTATCGCCAGCCACACTATACCGTTGTCGGAGGCGTTCAAAACGTCCAGACCAAGATCTCCAACACCCAGTCTGTAAGGCTCGGCGCAATTGTTACCCGGGTCGAAAATGTTGGTTCGAAAGTCCAGGTCACATGGACCGACTCGAAACGCAAGGAGGTCCATTCCAGGCAGTTCGATCACGTCGTATTGGCGGTCACTCCAAACGTGGTTGGCGCAATCTACGAACCTCTACGGAAACTCATGGGCTCAATCCCTGTGAATCAGGGAGAGGCGGTAGTTCACCGTGACCGATCTTCCATCCCGGAGTGTAGCCAGTTACTGGGAAGGTTCGCTGCAAAAGCCCAGCAATCTGTGGACCCGACTCAAATTCTTCACATCTGCTCCAATTCCTCGGCAACGGAGGCGATACATGAACACCCGTGTTCCGTTCTAGTGACGAGCTTTCCGATCGCCCCTATAGACCCCACTAAGGTTATCCATCGTGCGCGACTCACCCGCGTTCTACGAACCCCGCAAAGCAGAGCGATAGTCAACCGGATATTCGCGGGGAATTTCGAACATGCGTACCAAAAGAAGGAGAAGCTCTGGTCTAACGGTACCGGGAACGTTTGGCTTGCTGGAGCTTGGTGCTGGGACGGAATGGTCCTGCTCGAGGGATGCGTCGTTTCCGCCATGAGGGTTGCCGCAAGCCTAGATGTCGAAGTTCCATGGCTAACGGGCCGATGACTAACGTTTAGACGAAGTTCTACCGTGACGAAATGATGTATATACAGACAGGCGCACTTATAAGTTGCCGTCTAATCATATAATTCTGCCAGTTTAGGAAATACTGGCATCTTTGCATCCAGCATAGTTAATGTTACACACCCGTCTTCACATGCTACGCTCTAAGATACATAGCCGACTGTCTTGCCGAAGAGCCGCGGTGCGAGGATGCACTACTCTTGGGTGCGAGCGACCACTACACACCCTCTCAATACCCCAGTTCTTGCCCACCAATTGAAAGCCTTCGCGGCTCCCTTGAACTTGCCCACGGTCATTCCGTATCGCCTAAGCTCCGCATCCTGCTTCCGTATGTAGTTCGCAATGCCTGCGAAGACGTCTTCTGAGATATCCCTCATCTCAATCATATCTTGCTGATACCCAGCCCGGACCAGCATATTCACGTATTCCTCCTCCGTAAGGAAATTCGAATAGGGCATCCCAGATATAAGACACATCGATCGTAAAATTAGCTTTTCCCACAACGACGCAGATCCGGAGATCAGAAGGTCGAAGGCCATGATCGAAGCCTGCATATCTCGACATGCATACTTAAGCAACGGGTCTCGAGACGGCTTGTAGTGGTACATTGTATCGAGGGCTAGTAGCCATCTTTGTGTCTTCTCGCTCCCCGTATCCGTGCTAGTGGCTTCACTCTTGCTTTCAGCGTGACCAGAGTTGCCCAGGGCAGTTTGCTGAAGCTCAATTCCCCAAGACGACGGGTCCGCTGCATCGGCGGCAAAGATCTTCACATCTGGCGTCCACTCTGCAGATATCTCAGAGTCTCCTGCGCTATCGCTTGAGAGTCTTTCTTGAGCAAAATCCGCTTGAGATTGCTCAATAGTGACACCCACGTATGAGTCGAACAGCGGTCTGCTTTCGTGCGCATTCGGCCCTCTTCTCTTTCTCATCTCGCTGCTATGGGCACCGCTACCATTATCGGTAGCTGTCTTGATCCCATTGGAAGGGGTAGTAGTCACGGAGTCAGGACTGACTCTGGAGAGTCTCCTCGTTAGGTATAAAGACTGGTCGCCGCAGCCAATTCCGACATCTACCAGTTTAATATCCTGGTGGGGTGCTTTGACGGGCGTGCCATCTTCATTGAGGAGCTGTGCGGCGATGAGGACTTGTTCTAAGAGAGCTTCGCAAGCTTTAGTGAAAGAGCCCGTATTCTAGAATCTTGATTTAATTTACTTCCACCAAAAACTATACAACGAAGGATATCGAGATACTGGGCAAGAAACAGGAAAATCGGCTCAAATATCCATTTTTACATACCTTCCAATATCCCATGTTCATCCACATGCTTCTAGGGGGCACTTCCATGCTAAGAACGGCATGGTCCAAGGAATACAGCTTTCTGTCATCGACGCCAATTATGTATTGGATGATACGTTCAATGACTCCCAGCACCATGGCTAGGAGGCTTTTTATTTGCTTCATGGTCTGGAGGTACACCTAACGATCAGTATCTGTGCTGTATCAAGGGGTTTCCAATGACTGGCCAAAGGGGACGAGAGGAATCAATTGGTATCGGATAGGAGCTATACGTTTAACTCCACTTTTCTCTCCGAATCTCCTACGTACTCTGTGCAGCAAGGCGGGTACAATGATGGATCGGTAAAACCAGGAAAATCGATAACGGCTTTGGATTGATAGACGCTCCAAAGTTGATATTTCTTGGCATTTATTAGTCACATGCTGTTGGCGTATACAACAGGAAGAAGATTTGTTTTGAGAAACGCACCATATTTGACGTACATTTCGCCATATGTATATCTTCTTTAGGTTCTGTCTGACAGAGAAACTACGGCTTAGTGTATTGTTGGATTGGGCAGAGTTGCGTTTCCCAAGACAGTTCATGGTACACAGTTTCTTAATTCGCAGCCCTAATGCCAGCTTCTTTAGAGTCCAGACGAATGCCATTACTTCAGATTGATATAACTTCCCAGTGGTTTACTAGCGAGTGTTTTAAGGTAATATAAAGTAATCGGGCGACTAAACGTATGTTATTGTGCTTATATGAGTGAAAGTAGGATTGGAAATACATGAATTACCCTCGCGTGAATAGTCTGACCAAACGCCTCGACTGTGAGAGAACTCCGTCTAGAGGTACGTATTGTCTACACTCTGGTATGCCCAATCTACAAACAAAGATGCATCTTCATATATGCAGGAACCTACCTCTGTGCGGTCTTTCCTACAGCCAAGTTCATAAAAGTTCACAATGCAGCATCATGGGGGTGTATACACCCTAAGATTGCATGTCTCGATATAAAGGATCAAAGGTTAATTGTACCTGGCATAACGATTGGAATTTACTTCCTCTTCGGGTTACATTCTCCATCTTCAATATATTAACCAGTCGCCCGCCGATGATCGCCAAGTCGGACCATGGCTGCGATTACAATTTTGGTCACACTGTGTACGAGCTTGGATGAAATGCGCACCAGATTACTCAGTACATGGCTGAAGGCTTTAACTAGGAGTTATATCCTTGAAGTGATCATGAAGAATAACGAGATAGGTGAACCACGTGGGGAGTAATATGCCGTTCTTTACTACAGGGGTCCGTAAGATCTCTAGCCCGAGCAGGGTATCAATCACGATTAGATCAATCATAAGTTTTCTGAAACGAGGGTCTTCTCCTCGGATGTTAGTGTAATTTACTAATATTGTGAAGTGTGAATGCTGGCAAGTATGTAGTTGTCAGACGCTGAAAGCAGGTTGTGCTTGTATAGAGCACGATACTTGCTTGCCGTTGCCCTAGATCATTTCCGAGATATTTTCAAGAATTTACCGAAAACCTAATTGAGGAGTAGTTTGGGAGCCAGCAAGCAGCGGGAAACTAGAGAGGCTAAGGAAAAACGCAAAACAGGCCACCTCTACAACCTAATTCCAGTGGGATGCAGCTAATTTAGTATATGATGTGATCGGATCATTTACTCGATTCGATTATAGACTGAGACTTGAGATACTTGCAAGACACAAATGAGAGCCAGGGTAGAAGGATATACTGGTTATTTTGTTTGTATGGTTCTACTGGTAGTGGTAGATATTGAGCATGTACCGAGTACGAGTAGGGCGTACATACCATACCGTCCATCCTTATGATCAGGTTCGGTCCCTTTCACTCAGTCGGCCTCTCCTCGGCAATACTGCGCGGCCCTTTTGAACTCGTCGATCACGCAGGAACCAAGATGGATTGGTAAGCAAAATGTTGAGTGATTTCTTTTTGTTTCGCGCGAACCGCGCATCGGGCAAACCTAAGCAGTCCCTAGTTCCAGTTTCCTCCAGCCTCAGCTTCCCTCCACCAACCAGAATGAATCACCGGCGGGTGCACGGAACTTTTGGCTCTAATACGAGGTTGGTGGGTAAATGGACTACGCTCCGTATAGTATATACAGAGTACATATGGTACAACAGGGGGGAAACATTGGGGGTTTCAATCATGGCGAAGTCTGTACGGAGGAAGGGAGGCAAGTATGTCATCTGATGAGAAATGAATGACAAGGAGAAAGAGAAAAGAGGGAAGAGGGAAGAGAAGGGAAAGAAACAAAAGAGAACATTAGACAAAAATAGACAAAAATCCCGATTACCTCTCTCTCATAAGACTTGCTTTGATAGGAAGGCTAATCTTCGGCCGCAAGAAATACTTCATGGTTAGGTCAGAGACTTTAACCAGGTTGCTAATTCAATCGTTCTCTGGTTCCGCATGCCGACTTCGGCCACCGAAAGAGGATGACTCGGCCTCGATGTCATGACCGCGGGAAAGGGTGGCGACCGCTGCGAGGCATCCGGGTCTTCCATATCATAACTATCCAAGGAATTCCGGTGACCGCGACGTTATATTATTGTTTAAAGTCTGTAGATTCAAGCAATGGGCCAGAATAGAAGTATAACCCATTGTGGACCAATATACTCCGTAGTGGGTGGTGTGCACGGTTTTTTTTTTTTCGCCAGTACTCCATTGTAGAGAAACTGATAACTAGTAGTTAATTACCGATTGATATGACAAAGCCCCAACCATACTTGACCCAATTGGTTAACGGTTTCCCTTCCCCCCCCCCAGGCTTAATCAGCGGTTTTTTTGTCCCCCCACCCGAACAAATTCCATTCCCGGTCGCCCTCTCCGGTCCCACGTTCCCACAGTCATTCGATCGTTTCTTGTTTCCCCTCTCTTTCCTCCCCTGCTTCTTTGACTAGCCATACATACTTCTTATTCCTCCGTCATTCTGCTTCGCAATTGCCAATCGACCCCTCTCGACTTGTACGCGGTTAAGGCGGCCAACACCGAAAGAGAATATTATCGCGCCGGAATCATATATCGTTACAGTCATTTTCCCTCGATCAGCCCCGGGCCTCCCTAGCGGACTAAACGAACACAAGAACACAAGGGAAAAAAAAAAGGAAACGGAAAGGAATATCGAACAGAGAGGTCTCAGAAGCCTCAAGCGGTACACCATGACCGAATACAATGGCCGCAGGGCTCCCAACTTCTCCCAATACCTCGACGATTTGAACGCTATCCCGTCGCCATACGATCAGGCTATTCAGCAGCAACAGCAAGGCTCATACAACCTCGATGCAGACCTCTCCCTCTTCACCAATGCCGAGTTCTTTGATTTTGATAACTTCGGGGATTTGAACCTCCCCGGGTTTGACTCGGTGGAGAGTGACAACTTGAAGAAGGAAAACAACCAAGCCACTGGCCAGAACCCAGATATGGAATTCTTGGATCTTCTCGGTGGTAAGTTGGAAATTCCTTTATAGATTATACTGTCCCTATTGTTTCTGCACCCGAGCTGGAGGAACCGCCGGTCGCATTTGGTTGGAGCTTCTCTGGGTCTTTTTTCTTCACACCGGATTGATTTCCCATACATCGAGAGCCTCTTGTTTCTGTCGCACGTTTCCTGCTTTTTCCATGTGCATCCTTTATTCCGTGATATCGTCACGGGGTTCATGGTCCCATACTACGTTCGCACAATGCCTGTCTCGGATCCTCGAGGCATAGATGCATCCTCCAAGCCACACACCACCTGCACGTGTCCTCATTGGAGCATGCCTGCATTCAATCCCTGTTAAGCGATGATCAATTTAAAAATTTCTGTGCCACTAGCAAGGGTCCTGGGTTGGTGCTGATAGCGTGAACCCGTTACGCGATGGCGTCATTTCACGTGACATGACCTCTATGGTCGCATTCGGCTCAGGGGATCATTCGCCTTTCCACCAGCTCGGTCTTGCGATAGCTTTAGCGTGATTTGATAGTGATGATGTTCTAACTCTCCTTCAAGGCTTTAACAACATGCCCGAGTATTCAGCCACCGGCTTCAACTCCGTCAATGCTCAGCCTCAACCTACATCTCTGCAAAATGCGCAGTTCTCGACTGTCCCACAGATGCAGAACGGGCCCCTTAATGCTGCCTCCAGCCCGACCGAGTCCATCTCGACTTCATCGCCGTCGCCTGCGGCCCAATCGCAGGCTCCTGGCCCCGCTGCATCTTCTTCTGCCCCCGGACCGAAGCGTAAGAACACCCAGAAGCCGGCTGCTATTAGTGTGGAGGAGGCATCGCGGGTCGCGGCAGAGGAGGATAAGCGTCGACGTAACACTGCTGCCAGTGCGCGGTTCCGTGTGAAGAAGAAGATGCGTGAGCAGGCGCTTGAAAAGACTGTCAAGGAGACGACGGAGAAGAATACTGCGCTTGAAGCCCGCGTAACTGCATTGGAGCTTGAGAACCAGTGGTTGAAGAATTTGATCACAGAGAAGAACGGGCAATCATCTGAGGAAGGCAAAAAGTCAGAAAACGATATCGCGGACATGTTCAAGAAGTTCCTTGCTTCGCAAAAGGCCGAAGGCCAACGGAGTAGTGCTGAGTCGAGGTTCAGTGTGGGCACTGCTTGAGTGGAATCCAAGTAAAGTTATGTTGATTGAATGGCGTTCTGTCATTGTGTTTATGTGCAGGCTTTTACTTCTTGTTCATACTTAATTGGAGCATTAGGAGACTGGGGAAGGCGTCTCCCGGAGCACGGGTTAGTGGGAGGCATGAGTGATGATTTCTTGACGTTCCTTTGATGGTGCAGACTCCACTCCAACGTGGTAAAAAAAAGATGGATTGTTTGTTGTTTGGCTTCTCACGTTTTATATCCCAGCCTATAGGTATTTCAACATTCTACAATAGACGACTTTGTGCAGTCTACACAGCTGCAAAGCATTAATCATATCGACATAATCCACCATAGACCATTCCATAACACTCTAGACCCCAGGGCAGGCTTCTTATCAAAACTCCGAAAGCAAGGCAAAGAATAGAAAGGAGGAGGTACCCGTTGTTTCTGGGGAAGCTATAGAGTTTCTCGGTACTTCATATGCTTTGCCACGTGGGGTGCAGCAGAAACTGAATCTACCACTTCATTCTGGCGGAGGGCTTTAGAGAAATCTTCAGTTGAAAGCTCAGTTCCAGATTCATAACCTTGCTCTGCATACTGGAAACATCGTATGTTTCTTGGGTAAAAAGCTGCGTGTTGCCTTGGAATCCAGTATGGTAAGATGCAATGTAAACCACTATCTAGCATAGTATCACAGAGCAAAGCAGCACTCGCGATTTCTAGTACTGAGAGACATAATATGTCAGCTTGAACCTACGCAAATATGTGGTACACATTATGCACTCTTATGTACATTTTGCCGATGTAGCTGAAACAAGACAGCGGGTGCATGTTATCGCGCCGATCGTGCCCTTATCATCACGTGACTACGTCTTGTTGATGGTCCGTGCAAATGAAGTCGTTGAACAGTGGAACACTCCACAGTCTCATCTTCCAACCACACTTATACCCCTGGCGGGATAATGCGCAAGAACTCGGTGCATATATAGACGCCACACGCAGTGGCGACCGAGCCAATGGCGCGTCCAAAGACAGTCCGCGCACCCACAACCGCGAGTCTTCCTAGCAACCTCCGCATCCCCTCAACAACGCCATCGCTGGTGAAGTCATTCGGGAAGCTCACCCGGCAGGCATTGCTGGACCTCGTGTTCTACTGGCTGGATGACCGCAATGTACAGTCCTTCGCGCCATTCCTGGCACGAGATGAAGCAGAAGTAGCGGACGACGAGGAACTCGGTCCGTACCCGGCCGAGCGGACCATCGACGACGTGCGCAATGCGTACCAGGAGCTCCAGGTGCGAAAGGGTGGGAAACGAGAAGTGATCGATCGCATACTCGAGGGCGACTGGAAACATGGTATCACCTTGCGCCAGCTCGCAATGATTGATCTTCGCTACATAGATGACCACCCGTCAAGTTTGCGATGGACGGCGCTGGAGCTCACTCGCATTGACGCGGATGGAGCGCAATCGCCCGAAACCGACGTTTCCTCCTACATTCCGCGTGTCCATGCCTCGACCTTCCTTAGTAATGTTCAGCAGCAAATCTCCCCTTTGGTGAAAGCGCATTACTACCTCACCCGCTCGAATACTTTGCCTCTCACTTTCCTCCGTATATTCGTGACCAGTTCGCCATATCAGCATCCTCGCCAGCCACCTGAGACACTTACAGACTCGTCGAGAGTGATATATGTTGCTTTTCCCGATAGTTGCCCCTTCGTTTACACGTCCATTGCGTCTTCTACAAGCCCCAAAGCCTCTTCTGCCAATGCGGTCGCGACAGATGCCCGAAGTTTACAGCGCATCGTGCGCGACGCCGTCCCGAAAGCGCTATCTCTCCCTCAGCAAAGATATGCCCTTAAAGCAACATCAATGACAGCGAAGAGTCTGCAAGCATTGCTAGCGCTTCGAGGACCAGGTCGCTCGAACGGAGCAAATGGTGCGTTCAGCATATTTGCCGATGCCGTGGTGGAGGGGAGCCCGCTGGACCCACGACCAGCGCATACAGTTTCCCCCGAGGAACTCCTGAACCAAACTAAACCCGACAAAATCAAGAATCAACCCGTAGAAGATCAGAAACAAAACGAAACACACCAACCAGGAAGAAAAACCCGCAACACAGAAGACACTCACATTCCGAAAAAGCGCAAACTGGCCATCCACTCGCGCTTCGGCACTGCTGGGTCTCTGTCATCTGCACCTCTGGACCGCCTTGACGTTAGGCTTCTGGACCGCCCGGATGGAGATGGAGATGGAGATGATGAGGATAGCGATGCTGATCACACGCAGCCATCCCTCTCGCTTACATTTGCCGGTTCGGACGTTATCAGTGGGATTCGAAGGCTTGCGGAATTGGGTGTCGTTGATCCAGAGAGAATGCCTTCCTGGATGACGGGCGAAGAGGCTGTCAGCGTTGCCGTTGTTCGTCGAGGACACCGTGTGATTAAGGATAGTGGATGAAATGGGGTGATCATCGACCTAATACATACTTTCACGTTCCCCGTGGCATGACGCGACAAGCTGAGGTTCACGTGTCCATTCCGGCGGGAGTCGCTTTTGAACGGCATAGAAATGCGTTTAAGTGGCCGTGCGCGGCCCGGATCATGCAGTCTGCGATCCGCGAAAGGTGAACCTTTCATCTTTGTTTATGTCCTTTCACTGGACAAGGGTTTGGATCTCGCCGGGTACAGCGAGACTTCGAACACCACCATGGTGTGAAGAAGGTAATGCGGTGGAGACTTATATTTGAAAGTGAACGGGTGGGTAGTCAGCTGAATGGTTGTCGTGAGTTTGAGAGTGGGTGCCTAGTACTTGCGCCATATGGCTAATGATTCTCTAAAACCAACCAAATATGTGTGTTGTCAAATTGCATAGTATGTCCCAATAGCATTCTTGGTTAGCAGTAACTCCCGGGTATCTAGCCAGTCCCGAAAAGCAATAAACTTCAGACGCTCAATCAACTTCCAATAGGTAACAAACTTCTCACTAGACACCACAGATGCTACAAAACCCTAGTGGAGTATGCATCGGATGCCTAGTACTCCACGACCTCATCTCTGTCAACGTTATAACGTCTGCGACTACGCGAACCATAAGGATACAATTGTTGGGAGACCCAGAAAGGATGATATGTTGAATAGTCTAGGGGATGGAGTGTCAGTATGTGCCTGGAAACAAGGGACAAGGAATGATCAGGGTGACTACAAAGATGGTCTCGTACCACGTTGACCGGAAAGACCTAGCTGACTAGCCACATTAATGTATCCTTCTGCAGTCGTTTGCCCCTGAGCTCTGAGCTGCTCCAAGTTCACGTCGCTGGTATCTGCTTCCCATGGGGAACGGCTGATGATGTTTTAGTTCCAATCTGATAGCCGAGGAATGTGCAACAAACGTACCAATAAACACAGCGAGCGCCTTGAGAATTTTGAGAGACAGCCCATTGTTGGAAACATGTTTTGTGGATATTATTTCCGCAGGCCGCTCGACACCAGACGATCTCCTCTCTGTCAGGTTCAAACTCCATGAAGCAGATTGGACAATCTCCTTCAATGGCCTTCCTCTTGCCACCGTTGTCATCATCAACTTTGGTCTGCTCACGACTCAGAGATGATCCTTCATAGATCTCACGAAGCTCCTGAGGAAGCAATCTTAGTATAGGAAGTGTACGGAGAAGTACGCAGAATAACTTACCATGGGTAAGAATGCCAGTTGATACTGTAGGTGTTGCGGAGCTTTGAGGACATTGACTAGAACTTCGCGGGTATGCCTATCAGAAACCATACAAACTATAATAATGATACAATTGAAAAACAAAAGTAGTATTAGGAATAGCGATAGCACCTCAACTCGACTTACCGTAACAAATATGCTTGCATTGATTTCCTTTTCGAGCATCCGGACAGGTGCAGGTCGGCTCCTTCCCAATAACTGTCTTGTAGATGTTTCCTGTTGTCCCAGCAATGTCAAAGCTCATCTCAGGAACATCATCAGCGCCCGTGACAATATGTCCTAGGACGAACATTCTAGGGGGAAAAAACATCAACTGTGAGCGAAAGAATCGAGATATGATCTGGGTGGACGGCACACCTCTGAGTTGTTGCACGGTTCAATCGCTGTAAGAATGTTTGTGGTGGCTTACTGCGAAATACTCGAGCTCGACGTTCAGGTATCCCCTCGCCTGCTGATTGCTTCGTCTTTGCGCTTGGAGTCCTCTTTTGTGGTCTAGCAACAGGCGAGTCGCCAGTCAAATCGATCACATCCTTCGGGTCGGTAGGAATCACTGGATGATCGTCCCCATTTCTACGGGTACGTTTCGCATATGTGGATGCGACACTGGCCTTTTCGTCAGCGTTTCGCTTTCGTTTTGACGCAGATGTACGGCCCGTGTGTGGAATTCGAGTATGGTCTGCAGGCGATGAGGCAGTAGTGATCTGCTGTCTGGAGGATGTTGTCCTTGTAGTAACCATTCTGTTTGAATAACTAGGCTATACACAGTACTAAAGATGATAGATCCGAGTGTCGAATATTGTTGGCACAAACGAGTTGTCGCTGTGGTGGTCCTACAATGATAGCGATAGCGATAACGATAAGCTTTTCTATTCAGGAGGCTGACATATTCCCACGGTATCCAAACAAAGGAATTGATTGATTTTGCAGTGGATGCACCTCTTGCAGTACTGATACAGACACGTCATTTACAAGATAGAGAGACAAGTGGAGAGCAATTCAAGGGTACAAAAGGAAGGTTAAAATCAGAAAAGCAATTTTCTTTGTTATCGCTTCCTTCACTGATCCACTGATCATATGCGGAGGTTTGTTGTGTTTGGCATGTTTGGTATGTTTGTCTGTCACATGTCATCCTGATAACGATAGAGGGACAACATTCAATAAACTACTTTTGACAACACTGAAATACTCCCGTCAGGTGCATAATCATAAGTAGCTCACCATCTTATGGCAATGGCACGTCCACGCGCCCATTCAGGTGCTGAGGCCTCCAAAGAGCCTCATTCAGTCT